GAATGAGATTGGGCTTCCCAGGCTCTGGGGAGATGTGTCAGTGGAGGGACCTCTGAGTCTGCGACATCTGAGTATGGGACCTCTCTCTCCCTAGAGATTTTCAAGCTGGAAATGGATGGGTGTGCATAGGGAAGGAGTTGGGCCAGGGCCAGGGGGAGAAGTCAGCCTGGCTGCTCTCACCCCCCCTGCATGTCCTTGTTCAAGTCTAACCTCTGACCGGCTACTGGCCTCAGCCTCCACCCCTGTCTCCAGCTCCCAGCATACTCCCTGGCCAGTCCCTGCTCTCAGCACTGTGTCTCCAAGTGTACTTCTCTCTTTTGCTACCCCAAAGGGAGGGAGAGGCCGGGATGGCAGGAAGAGAGGGGAAAACCGATTGCTGAGCCAGTTCTGGGGAGGGAGGGGAAGCCCAGGGAGGAAGGACTGGGGAGTGAGGGGCGGGGATATTTTGGAAGAGGAGAAGGCTTTTCTTGTCCCAAGAGAGAAGGGAGCACTGTCTGAAGCAGTGGCCCAGCTGGGGGTGTGCAACCCCGAGGTCACCCACTTCAAATGGCCTCTGTGTGTGTCTCTCCCATGGGGCAGACTCAGGGTTCAAAAGCCTTCTCTCTGCTCTTTGGCCAGCCCAGTTCCATTGCCCCACTCCCTTCTATGCTAGGATGTCCCCACTTAGCTCTGCCCACCTTTCCGTGGGGCTGTGAGACCTTTCTCCACTGGCTTCTCCCTGCAATTTCTCCCTAGAACCCCACCCCCTCTGCTGCCCCAGGCTTCCTGCCCTTACATTCTCTCCCCCAAAAGCAGTAAGTGCTTTCAGCCTGGTGACCCTGCCCTCCTTGATTGGAGGTTTTGGGTTTGGGCTCCCGTCTCTTCCCAGATGGGCTGGAGTGGGTCACAGACTCAGAGCAAAGGAAGGAAAGAAATGTGGGGGAAACTCAGAGCCTAAGGGAAGCGAGAATGAGCAGCGCGGGCACACCCTGAGAAAGACACACCCAGAGACAGCGTTGGATTGCTGGGCAGGATCTTTGGGGCTCAAAATGGAAAAGGAGGGCTAGGAGAAGGAAGGGTGTGCGTGCAGAGGGAGGAAGGGTGGTGGCAGGAATTAACAAAAAGAATAGAAGAGGACAAGAATACAGGGGTATAAAAAAGAAAGAAAGACAAGTTCAGGGAGAACTGACAAGCGGGCGTCTAAGAAGTCTGGCTTGGCGGCTCCCCTACCTGTTTGTGATGTCTTTCGGGGGACCCCTTGACAAGGCAGCTGCGGCTGAGACGGAGGTAGCCCCCCAGAACCAAGATCTCCTCAGCAGTGGGGTACCGCTTCTTCCCAGCCCCAGGGACTGCAGCATCAGCTGTGGCTGGGGTGGCTGGGGTCGCAGGGGGCACAGAGCGCCGGGGGTTGACTGTGAAAGTATGTCCACTGCGGCGGGGGGTCCCCACCCCTGGCCCTGCCTTCACCCCATAGAATAGTCGGCTCATGAGGGGATCCCCAGGGGGCTGGGGGACGGCTGGGGGTTGGGGAGACAGAGGGGCTGGTGGTGGGGGCCGCAGTTCCACTGCTTCCTCTTCCTGCTGTCTTGGGCCTCCGGTCCCAGCGTCCTCTGGTGGGAGGGGGGAGGGCACAGAGCAGCGGTTCAGCAGGGTTCTCAGAGGCCTGCCCTGAGCCCCCGCCTCCTCCTTCTCAGCCTCCCCTTCTCCAGCCTCTACACCAGGAGGCCCCAGATGCTTCTCAGCCAACTCTGTAGGTTCTGGTTTCTGAGTTTGAGTCTCTGTGTCCCTGGGTGTCCATTCTCGAGCCTTCCCAGAGTTCAGCGTCCATTTCCACCCTTCTGTTGGCCTCGAGTTCCTGTCGCTATCCTCCACAGGGCTGGGCCTCTGCTCTGCTGCCTCCACTTGCCTTGCGCTGTTGCCTTCAGCCTCCCTTGTCAGAGTCTCTGACAGCACTGTAATCTCTTCTGGGGACATCCCTGGAATTGGCCTCTCTTCTTTTCTCCCACATTTCTCCAGGTAGTCTTTTCTTTCTTCTCCTGAGCTCAGCCTCCACTCTGTTGGCTCCAGTTGTACCAAACTCTGTTCCTGAGACTCTCTAGAGTCAGGCTTCCGCTTATGGGCCTCTGTCAGGCCCAACTTCTGGTTGCCAGATTCCCCTGGGCTCAGTCTACTTTCCCCTATCTCTTTTCTCCTGGGGCTTTGTTCTCGAGGCTCTGCCAGTCTTGGACTCCGCTCTGGAGTTTCTCCAGGGCTCAGCCTCCATTTCCACGTCTCTGAGAGCCGGGAGCTCCTGTCTCCCACCTCTCCTGGGCTTTGCCTCCTGTCCCAAGCCTCCATAGGCCTGGGGCTCGACTCTTGGGCTCCCCCTATCCCCAGCCTCCTCTCTCTGGTCTCCCTGGGACTTAGCCTCTCTTCTCTTGACTCTCTTCCCTTGGGGCTCTGATCCCGCATGTCCCCAGGGCTGGCTCTACGCTCCCTGGCCTCCAGAGGCCCAGGCTTTCTCTCTGCAAGTAGTTCTTCACTCCGTTGCTGCTGCTGCTGCTGCCGCTCCTGCCGCTCCTGCCGGATGAATCGGTTCTGGTGCACTGGCCCGATGGCCTCCAGAAGGACGGCAGACTCATCTGGGTCTGGAGGTCCAGCCTCTGCAGTCCCAGGCACAGGGCTAGGCTCACCAGGGGACAGTCCAAGCTTGGCTCGGCGGCGCTCCAGGAGCCCCCGCTTCCAGGCTGGCATCTGGGACAGGCGCTCCCGCTCTGCCTTTTCCCGGCCACGAACGGATGCCTCCTCCTGCCGGCGCCGGGCTAGCAGCTGGAGCTTCCAGTCTGGGATGGTGGCCATGGTCGTCTTGAGGTGAGGGCAGGGAGCGCTGGGGGCAGAGAACAGGAGGAAGAGGCTCCAGAGAGGCCCCGGGGGTGCGACGGGGTGGGCAGAGAGGAAGTGGGGGGAGAGGTGAGACACCGAGAAGGGCAGAGGAGCTGAGGATGAGGGCAGAGCACAGGGGAAGTTGAAAAAGTGAAGAGAAGCTGTGAACAAGTTGGGGGATGTGAGAGGAAGAGTCGAGATTCAGGGCAATGAGGGCGGGGGCCGGATTTGGCAGTAGCGTTAACGGGTTATTAGAGACAGTCCCCAGGACGTCAGGAGACAGAGGGGCGAGGAGAGAAGCTGGCGTGAGGGCGAAGACAGAAAAGGGGGAGCCGGGTTCAGGCGAGGCTGCCTCACCGATATCCCGCGGGAGGCGAGCGTGGGAAGGAAGGTCAGGGAATCCCCCCGGAGGCGGCAACGGGACCTGAGGGGATGTCGGGGAGGCCGGGAGGGGCGGAGGGGGAAGAGGTCTCCGGGAGAAGGGAGTCAGAGGAGCGGCGCAAGGCAGCGCCGCGGCGGCAGCCCGGCGAGTCTCGGCTCGGGCCCCGCGGGTCCCGGCTCCCCCGCCAGCCCCGCTCGGGCCCCGCCTCTCCGGCCCTCGCCCCCGCCCCCCGCCCCGGCTCCGCCCCCGAGGCGGTCAGGGGAAATACCCCTCCCCGGGGACTTTCGGGGCCCGGGCGTCCGGGCTGCCGGCACGTTCCCCGAACCCTGGGGTCCTCCCCCACCGGTCCCGGCGCCACCGTCTGCTGGCCCCAGCGGCTGCGCCCCGCGACCCAGGCGTGCCGGGGAGCGGCTCCGTGTCCCTCTCCACAGCCCGCGAGTCCGGCGCCCGTCCCGGCTCTCACGTTGTCCTGGCAGAGCCAGCCATCGCCAACCGGCTCTGACCGCACAGACAATCTCGGCACAAAGAGGAGACAGCCCAAGGACCGGGCCAGGGACAAGAGCGGGGACGCGAGCGAGGAGACACCCCCTCCCCAAGTCTGAGCCCTGCAGTCAACTCACAAGCCGAGGGGCCTCCGGGGGAGGGGTGCGGAGGAGCCAGGCGTCCAGAGAGAGGAGGAGAGAGGAAGAGGAGGAGAGAGGGAGAGAGGGAGATCCGGAGACTAGAGGGAGGGGAGGAGGGAGAGGAGGAGGGAAAGAGGGAGCAGAGGAGGAGGGACGGAGACAGAGACTAGGGGGCCGGGCGGGGGGCGGCGACCGCTTTGTCTAAGGACAATGCCGAGAGGGAAGGGGGCGCAGGGCGGAGCCCGGAGGCGGGGCCTCGCTCCCTCGCACCCGGCGTGGGACTCGACTCCCGTACTGCCCTCTTCTCGCCCGAACCCCTGGGCCTCCGCTCTCTGTCAACAGGGTTCCTCAGCCCTGCCCTCCTGGCAGCCCTGGAGAGCCCAGGTATCCAGACTCCCGCCCCCAGCTCGCAGACCCAGGGTGGCGGCCCGTGACTCAGGCCCCTCGAGGGATTTGGGGAGGAAGCGGCAGCTGCTCCGGGCCCGGCCCGCCCTTCCCATCTTTGGTCGCTCCTCCCCGTGCTTTTGCCTTCCCGGGCCAGCCTTTGTTACTGTGGGGTCGAGGGCAGCCGCCAGGCTGTGGGGGGTTTGTGGGGAGGGCGGCAGGAGAGGCTCTCGGAAGCCAAAGGCTTTGGAAGCTCGCTCCCCTGCCAGAGCGCTGTCCCCTCTCGTTCTAGCTTCAATCTGCCTCCCATGGGTCCCCTGGTCTGCTGCGCGGAGATTGGGGGATTTGGAGGGAGGCAGACGGGGTCGCTCTGGTAAGGTGGGGGCGGGTCTGAGGGGAGTGGCCGCAGCCCAGCGGTCGCCAGAGGGCGTGGTGGCTGCCCGGACTCGAGTTTGGCGCTCGCCTTCCTCCGAAAACTTAGCCCTGCGTTTTTAAAGACTGACAGATTGCATGCCGTATGTAGGAAAACCAGGCTGAGTTTTATTTTCCTGCAGCGCGTGTTTCTCGGTAGTGCAGGGAGCCCTAAGTCACCCAGTCAAGAGCCGAAGAATCCTCTCTGCTAGGCTCGGGGGACCGAGCCCAGGGGCGGGGCCTAGGGAGGTGGCGAGACGAGGGCGGGGAGCGGAGCGGCAGGGCTCCGGGCGTGGACGCGCGGCCACTACCGTCAAACTTGCAGGCCCTGGTCCAGCCTCTTGGAATGGAAGTGAGACGTGGAGCAGGGGATCCCTGAGGTGCAGGGGCGAGGTAACAGTGCCCAGGGAGTAGTCAGGGCAGAACCTTTCCTTGTGACGAGGCTGTTGTGGGGGGGTGTCATGCCCTAAACTGGGAGGGTACAGATAAGTGCCACGCCCCCTCTTCCTGGTGGGTGTAAAGTAGACCTTGGAGTCCAGTGACTGAAACTCAGACTTCAGGGTTTGGAGGTGGACCCACGGAATGAAGCCTCAGGTAGTGGAAAGGGCAGCTCCTTCAGTCGTGGCTTTGAGCCCCTGGTCTGAAGCAGCCAGGGACTGGATGTAAAAGGATTTAGAATTCGAGGGGGAGCGGAAGTACAGGACTTGGAACCAGAGTTGGCTCCTCATTCCGCATCCCCATCCTGGGGCCTGGAGAGCAGGTGAAGTTTTCTTTGTAGCTGAGCGCGGAGGTAGCGGAGGTCTTGCTGGTCAAGTCCGTGAGCCAGGCCCAGGTAGAGGGTAAGGAGGAGAGCAAGGAGGAGTCGGTCAGTGCCCAGGGTGGGCACCACCCACAGCACTGTCAGCAGCTCCACACACACTGGGTGGCGCAGGTGGGAGAAGAGTCTCAGAGCCCGGGGAGACTTCAAGGCTAGAGGCTCACCTAACCCCAGCACATGGTAGTACACCTAGGAGAGGGAGAACAGCTTAAAAATGGAGTCAAGGCCTTTTCCCTATTTAGCCACCTCTTTCCTCCTCTTCTGGACACCACATTCCTAGAATTCAGGCCCAGGAACTCCCTCCTGAGACTTGGGCCCCTGATCCTGATCTCTGGAAGGTCTGTGCACCTTCTCGAGGCCCAGGAGGCCCACGGTTGCTGCCTTTTGGGGTAAGGTTGAAGGGAGACTGTCTCGCAAGAAAGGAAGGTGAGGGAGTAGAAGGCCAGGGGAAGGTAGAAGAGCATGGGAAGAAGGGGAGGGAGATCCTTGGACGAAGGGAAAAAGGAGTTCTAAAAAGGGTCAGAAATCTCAGGTAGAGATCTGAGAGCCTCACCTGTTTGAGGCCCATGAGCTCAGCGTAGTCAAAGACGAGAAGGATGCTGAAGATGAGGAGCCAGGAAATGACGTGGAGCACAAAGCACAGGAGGGGCACCCAGGTGGCCCATGGCTCAGCCCGAGCCTCCCACAACACAGGGCCTCTGGGTACAGGCTCCCAGCACCGCATCACCAGCTGGAGAAAGATGAGGGACTGGATATCGCAGAAGCCTGCCCTGCCCACTCAGACCCAGAGGCTGTCCCCACCTTGGCCTAGCCAGCAGCTCTCTCCCACCTCTCTCATAAGCACCACCAACAAATATTCACCATGTGGAGGGTGCTGGGTGAGGTCCTAAGGAGGTAAGGATAGCCTGTCTGTACCCTGAAGACTTATAGAACAGATGTGGGTGACCTGATAAGTACACAAAGTAGCCTATGCCAAGCACAAGTACTAACTGGAAATCCTTCTTTTAAGATGTAGGGAAGTGGTTTTGAAGAAAGGGTAGTACTGAAGAGGAGTTAAAGGGGGATCTCAAGCAGGATAACATGAACAAAGTTGCAAAGGTGAGAACGCATATGTCATGTTTGAAGAATGATGAGTACACCCTTCTTGATAGAAAGTAGGATATGTGTTGTGGAGGAATGGAAGCTGAGATTAAAGTCCTGAACACCCTCAGTTCTGCTCCTTAACCTACATTTTGTCTCTCCAAACCAGAACATCCCTCCCACACTCAGTTTCCCTTGGGGACTCAGCTGCCAGGGCCTCATACCTGCAAGGCTAGGGCAGTGCAAGCCACATACAGTGACCTCTGAAGGACCCCAAAGTACCGAGATGTCCACGCCTTCACGGTCTCAGTTGCCATGAGGCTGTGCTGCCCAACAAATAGTAGCAGGAGCCCTAGATCCCAAGCCAGAGCGGCAAGGATGCCGCGGTCCTGCAGGGCAGCCATCCATCCCTGGCGGGAGACTAAGGGTAGTTGAGGGAGAAAGGGACAAAAGATCAAGAAGATGGTAGACCATTTCCTTCTACCCTCGTCTCCTCTTGGGGCCCCAGGTCCCTTATTAGTTTCAAGAGCCTTAATGCTTCCTCTCTAGGCCGTGCCCACTTCACTTTTCCATTCCTTGTTTCTTTCCTCTTCCCTAGGCCTCCTTCAGACCTGGGGAAGAGGATTCATAGAAAAATGCATGTTGGGCAGTCACAAAAAGCATGTCAGGAGAGCCACCGCTGGAATGACCCTCTTATTTAGGTTCTCCAAATGCTCCCTCTTTTTAACACTCTCCTCTCCAAAATCCTCTCCACAAAACACTTCCCTTAAAAATACTCTGGTTATCATCCTTTCCCTCCACCTCAGTCCTCACTCTCCCGCCTCTCCAAACCACTAATCCCTTGAGGTCCTAATTTAGCTCTCAGGTCTCCCTCCCAGGCAGCTTCTCCGCAGCTTTCAAGGTTCGAGTCCCCTCCCCAGGACTTCCCCAATCATTTGTCTCCAAGCCCCGCCCTCACTCCCTCTCCGCCGCTGCACCTTCCTTCCCGGGAGCTCATCCTCGATCCCTCCCGCTCACCCGGACCACCAGACTCCGGAATCCCTCCGAGAAGTGGCCGAAGGGAGGTAAAGCGCACGAACTCCACTCCGGTGCCAAAGGCCAGGATGAAAGAGGCGAGGGCAGCAGGGACCAGGAGCAGTGCAGGGGCCATGGCGAGAAACTGAGGGGCGGGGAAAGGGGCGGGTTTGGGATTCCCGCGGCCTCAGGCCCCGCCCCAGGCCCCGCCCTCAGTCCAGGATCCCGCCCACCAGGGCGGGGCTCCTGCGCGCCCTTCCGGCCAGCCCGGCGCCGCCATCCCCCGCCGAGCTGCGGGACCGGTGCCGAGATTCGGTTCCGAGCCTGCAACCTCCGCGTCACAGATGGGGACGTTAGAATCCTAAGGTGTGTTAAGGGACAGCGGCTCTGCAATCACCCACGTAGGTTGAATCTCAGCTCGGCTAGATTTCCCATCTAAAATGAAGACAATTCCTCTCTTGCAGGATTCTTGTGGAAACAGAATATTATGAGCCCCCCTTTAAGTTAACCGTGGCTGGAAAACAACCAGAGCCAGAGGTTTCAAAACCTCAGTTAACACTTTAATAATGACACCAGATGGATGCAGTGCGCACCGTCTGGGGGATGGACACGCTTGAAGCTCTGACTCGGGTGGGGCAAAGGCAATAATACATAACCTAAACATTTGTATCCCCGTAATATGCTGAAATAAAAAAAAAGAAAAAGAAAAATAGGAAAAGATGTTCACAAGCTGAGGGCAGGCAAAAATTTCTTAGAACAGAAAAAGCAGAAACAAATAAAAATTGACAAATTGGAAATAAAACCACACTTTAATAACGAACGGTGAGAGAACCGACTGTTGACCCAGGCTGAGAACCCAAACTCTGAATTACCTATTACATCTTGTTAGATTTTTTTGAATGTGACTATTTTACCATAAAATAATACTTATTCAGTAACTTATTACAAAGTTGAGTTGTTGCCTCTCCACTTGCTGAGGACAAAGAACTTGCTGTAATACTGAAAGGTTTGTTCTAATAGTGTCAGAGATTGTTGATTTGTAACCATTAGAGTAAAAATATGTTAAAATATTTGTGGTAATAACCTTTTGTCTTTCAGAATTGAAGATCATGTCACTGAGGACCTAGTCACAGTAGCTATGTGCATAATAGGGACCTTAGATATCAGACTAACTCCCTCAACTTATAGATAGAAGAAACATAGGTCCAGAGAGATGAAAATTGCCTGACATGATTAAAGGAAGCTGCTAGTCCTGTGGGTTAAGGGGTGAGAAAATTGCCAAGCAGCATCCCACGGGCTCCAAATTCCTCCTCCCCCTCCTAGGCTCAGTACTCCCACCGGCCTCTGAATCAATGCTATTGTGTACTGTACCAGATATCTTGTCTTCCTTCTAGATTGAGTCTCCACCCTGCTTTCTGCTTCAGGAAGTTGTCCTGAATGGACTACATCAATGAAGGTCACAGTTTTTATTGAGGAGACCCTCTAATGACCGCTCTACTCTCATCTTTTTGAGCTTGGAGGTGGTCACAGCGGAACTGTGGGTACTACGGTACTGCATGCACTATTCTTGGTGATTTCCCTATACCCTGCCTACTTTGCAATTATCACACTTTATTAAACTGTCCCCTAAATTATCCTAATTTGTGCTATCCATTTCCTGGTAGGACTGTGACTGGTAAGAGACATGACACAAAGCAATGTGCTACAAGCTTTGGCACATTAGAAGCATTGTAAGTGTAAGAAAAGATCCTTATTCTCTAGAAGTTTAAATTGGGGCACTTAAATAATACCAGTCATGAAGAGGGAGCATACTTGAGTGCTATATGGTGCTCTAGAGACAGTAGGTACTGTAAGGAATCCGAGGGCCTCGGGGATGTGACAATTTCATGTAGTAGGAAGGCTTTGAATTGTGCAAAGGGACTAATATTTATTTGGGTGCTACTGTGTGCCATACACAATGGCTGTGTTAATGTGTATTACGAGATTAGATATGTTGGAAAGCCAGCACAGTGCTTGGCAGAGCTCATGCTATTTCTACTATACCAAAGTTTTCCAAACTTAAGTATAACTTACATGCAGAAAAGTATACAAAACTAATCAGCCAATTTTTTTTAATTGAAGTGAAATTCACACAACATAAAATTAGCCATTTTAAAGAGAACATTACAGTGGCATTTAGTATGTTAGCAATGTATACAACCACCATCTTATCTAGTTTCAAAACATTTTCATCACCCCAAAATAAAATTCTATACCCATTAAACAGTTACTCCCCATCTTCCCTTCCCCCCAGCCTCTGGCAACCACAAATCAGAATTTACCTATTCTGGATATTGCATATAAGTGGAATCATAAAATGTGTCCTTTTGTGTCTAGCTTCTTTCACTTAGCAAAGTGTTTCTGAGGTTCATTTTCAAAACGTTGTAACATGTATTAGTACTTTACCCTTTTTTTTAAGGTTGAATAATACTCTGTTATATGGGTATATCACAATTGTTTATCCATTCATCCACTGACGAATATTTGTGTTGTTTCCATCTTTTGGCTTTTGTGAAAAGCAATGATATGAACATTCATGTTTGAACAACTATTTCAACTATTTTCAATTCTTTGGGGTATTTACCTAGGAGCAGAATTGCTGGATCATATGGTAATTCTGTGTTTAACTTTTTGAGAACCATCGCTTTTTACTGCAGAGGCTGAACCATTTTACATTCCCACCAGCAATGTATAAGGGTTCCAATTTCTCCACATCCTTGTAATCAACCAACTTTTAAAATTTAAGAAATGTTATATGATTTTCCCTAAATAGAAGATAATGATAAATTAAATACAAGTCCATAACTATTTAAAAAAAAGTTTGTGTCTCAAGACCCAGATACTAAAAAAAAACTGCACTATACCATAAGGCACAGAGTGAATATTTATTTATCACAGAGGTCAAACCTAAGCTCTAATTTTATAAACACTGGAAAAGCAGGCCAGAAAAGTACAGAGACTTGCTCAAAGTCAAAGCTAAAGGATGCTTTCAGAGGCCAGGAGAGAAGAAAATGTTTAGTAGCATTCCATAACTCTACCTTCACATCTATTCACTCCAAGCATCTCTTCAAGTTCCTGACCCCAAAGTTGTTTCCACTTTCTTTAGAGAAAGAGTAAGAATCCCAGTAAGAAAAAAAGAGAGGTGGTTTCCAAATAGGAAGCAGGAAACCATGAGTGCCATGGAGCAATAACTACATCAATCTGGCTAAAGATGAACAGCTACTTAAGATATCAGAGCATAGGATTAGCCATTTTTAAAATGGCCACTTAAAAAAAAAAATCTGTGGCTCCCAATCTCTCTTTCTGTTTACCCATAAACCTTTCTGGTCCCACCCATGTTCCCTAGAGTCATACTAGTGTACCCCAATCTTTTCTAAAGCCCTGAGTTTTTTCTTCCAAATATTTTCTAATACTTTATTTATTGGTCTGGGAGAGAAAAGGTTGCTGGAGTTTTCAGGTGGATGACATTTCCAAAGTAGAGAGGACAAAGGCCTGCGGCTTGGCTTCCTGCTTCAGCACACCTGTCAGCAGGAACTCAGGTGAGAGGAGGGGCAGCCCAACTCGCAACGGAATGGAGCATCGAGGGAAGTCCTGGGGGCATGTGATCACAATTCTCCGAGGCTGGGGAAGACAAAGCAAAGACAGAAAGTCAGGTGAAAAGTCTTAGAAATGGGTTCAGGACCCAATAATCAGTCTTAGCACCACTAAAATAGTACCTCCTGATATGAAGCCATATGAAGCACACTGCATTGTCTATGAAGTGTTCTTGCCAGAAAAGTTGAACCTGAATTTATGCATGCTTTTAAAATTAACTACAATTTACAGGAAATATAGAAGGTACAGGAACAAGATAAATGATACATCAAAGGAGCAAACAAAAAAATCCAGACTGGGGAACATTCTGAAGGACAATTGACCTAGTCTCTGCAGGAAGTCAGTGGCATAAAAAAGGGAGTGTAGGTTGGGGGATGCTCTAGAGTAAAAGAGAACTAAGAGCTACAAGTGCAGCAGTGCGTGGACCTTATCTGAATCCTGATTTGAATAACTCCAGGACGTTTTTCAGACAAGTGGAGAAATTTTATTAATGGAGTGTGAAAAAATGACCAAGAACTATTGTTAATTTTCTTAGGGATCAACAATGATGTTGTGATTATGTAATAAAATGTACATATTTCTTAGAGATGTATACTTAAATATGGAAGAAGAAATAATATATTTGCATTTGCTTTAAAATATTTTAGCAAAGAGGCGTGGTGGCTGATGCCTGTAATCCCAGAACTTTGGGAGGCCAAAGTGGGAGAATAGCTTAAGTCCAGGAGTTCGAAACCAGCCTGAGCAATATGGTGAGACACCATCTCTAGAAAAAAAAAAAAAATTAGCCGAATGTGGTGGTTTGCACCTATAGTCCCAGCTACTTGGGAGGCTAAGGCAGGAGGATCACTTGGGCCCAGGAGTTGGAGGCTGTAGTGAGCTACCATTGCACCACTGCACTCCAGCATGGGTGATGGAGTGGGAGACTCTCTCTAAAAAAAACTGACAAAATAAAATACTTCAGCAAAGAAAACAAAAGAAAAGAAGGGATAGATGGAGCAAATGTAGCATAATCTAAACTGTTGAATCTGGGTAACTGGTATATGGGGGTCCATTACATTACATTATTTTTTCTCCTTTTGTGTATATTTGAAAATTTCAAAAATACGTAATAAAGATAAGTCCATTTGGTATCAGCAGATCTGTTCCACACTTCCTGTCCCTTTCTGTACCACAGCTCTGTTCCCTACCCTCTCAAGACTCTACTTCCCATCTGTACCTCCGTTTTTTCCTCCAGCCTTTCCCATTCCAGCCACATCTTTAACTGCCACTTCACCAGACCCAGAATGTACCAATCATACCTTATAGGACCGGGGCATGTTGGGGAGGACAGTGCCTCCACAGCAGCTGATGATCTCTCCCATCTGAGGTGGGGGTGGCTGGACTCCAGGGGTCACATGAATCTCATAGCCCTAAGGCAAAGAAATGCAGAGCCAGTGGTGTACCACTGACAGGCCATGGACTGCTGGGAAACCACTGGATGGAGGGTTGAAGCACTGGGCAGAAGACAGCCTCTCACCTCCAGCAGCCTTCGTTCCCGAGCCCGGCTCAGAGCATCTCGAAGGCTGAAGCCAAAGTTCTTCTCCTGTTCAGGATCGATCACCACATATTCATCCGGGGGCAAGAAGCAACCAGCCTTGCGGGACTAAGGGTGGCAGCAGTCAGCATCAAAGCTCAGCCCAGCCCCTCACCCACTCTCCTGCCTAGCATTTGTAGAGAAGTCACAAAACATTTCAATGAATTCAGCCTCACTAATGCCCCATCTTTCTATATCCCCTCTTCCCTCCCACCACTTTCTAAAGTGCTACACGAGCATCTTCTCCTATCACTACTCCGTTCGTCTGTCGTCATCTCCTGGCCTCTCACCTGATGCAGCCAGTCCAGCGAGAGGATGGGGATCCCCCGCCCCAGGGCACACAGGAACTTGACTGTCCGGCGGATTCGATCAGTGACCAGGTGGGAAGCCTCTGCCACTGAGCTGGCCAGACTTCCCCCCAGTGCCAGCACTGCCCGTTCTCCTCGAGCATCCACCACTCCTGTGAAGAGCACCTGTGGAGGGGGTGGCCGGAGCTGGTCACAGCAGCCCATGCCCTCTACAATCCCCCAGGGCTCCTCCTATTCTCCCGTCTCTCCCCCATGGAACCCCATGTCCCTCTCTCCTACTTTGGGGACTGGCGATTCTTGGTTAGGTTTAGTCCGTCGGAGACTGCGGCTTGATATTCCCTTGGGCTCCTCCTCTACCTGGTCCCTCTTTCTCTTGCCTGGTGCTGGAATCACTACATCCTGGAATTGAGAAAGATCTTGGTGGGAATTTCTGAGCCCTTTTTCCCAGCTTTGTGGCCCCAGCCCTCTTCTCACCTCTTTTCCTGGCCTCTCTGCAGTATCTTCCTCTTCCTTGAGGAACGCGGTCTTCTGGGAGACTTCCCCTCTTTGGGACCGTTTTGGAAGTGGAGGTGAATCCACGGTAGCTAAAGGCCTCTTGCGGCTTTGAGAGGCCTTAGGCTGGGGCTCTGGGGTGAACCCAGATCTATCTGCTGCTTCCACCTTTTCGATCTGGGATGCCTCGAGCAGCTGGGGAAAGGCAGGCTCAGGAATGGTTGTAAGGGACTCAGCTGCTCTCACTGCTCCCTGTTTTTGGTTCCTTGAGGATGGGGATTTAGGTTCAGGCGATGCAGAGCAAGTCTTGTGGACAATGGGAGCTGAGAGGGAACCATGCTTCCCAGCAGCTCTCTGTCTCCTGCTGCAACTGGCTTGAGGAATCGGCTCAGGGGAAACAGGCTGGTCTGTGGTGACAGGAGACTGGAATTCAGGGGTGGTAGGAACTGGCACAACACTTATTGTGGAAGACCTTAGTGTCTTGCTCTGACCACCCTGAACTATGGCCTCGGGGGTGACATGTTGGTCTGTGGGAGTGGGAAGCTCAAGATCAGAGGTTGTGGGTTCAACTAGTTTGGAAGTCTTGACAGAGGACCTATGAGTCCTGCCCTTAGTGGCCCAAGATGTGGGCTTTGGGGTGACAGGCTGGGCTGTGGAGGCAGAAGGCTGGAGCTCAGGGGTTGTGGGGACAATTGGGTCAGGGGTCTTGACAGAGGACCTATTTGTCCTGCCCCGAGTGGCCCGAGATGTGCGCTTTGGGGTGACGGGCTGGTCTATGGAAGTGGAAGGCTGTAGCTCAGGGGCTGTGGGGACAACTGGTTCGGGACCCTTAACAGAGGATGTATTTGTTCTGCCCCTAGTGGCCCAAGATGTGGGCTTTGGGGTGACAGGTTGGACTGTGGAGCTAGAAGGCTGGAGCTCAGGGGTTGTGGGGACAATTGGGTCAGGGGTCTTGACAGAGGACCTATTTGTCCTGCCCCGAGTGGCCCGAGATGTGGGCTTTGGGGTGACAGGCTGGTCTGTGGAAGTGGAAGGCTGCAGCTCAGGGGC